TCTCTCAACCTTACATTGCTTTTTCTCATTAGATTTTTCTATCATGGTAAGCTTCTGTGGATGCCAAGTTATTTCAAAGATCAATAGGCTCCTTCTTAATTTATAAACTATTTTTATCACCATCAAAATATTTAGTAACGATTATTTTTAAAATTTTGAGCTCATAAACTATAAATTATTCTCTTATTATCCTTTATTTATTTGTTTTTATTATTGTTTCAATCTTCTATACATAATTAATTATTATACTAATTTTAATAATTCTTTTATATTTTTATGTGATTCAAATTTTAAAAAATAAAAAATAAAAATTGAAATATCAAATACTTTATTATACTAGGATATATAAAAATTGTACACCGTAAAAATTGTTAAAAATAGTTTAAATTAAAAATAAATAAATTGATTAGTACTTTTTAAATTAACTCAATTAAAAAAACATATGTAACTTTTAAAAAATAAATAAATATATTGAAAAATTTTAATAAAAATTCAATTATTTTTAAACAATGTAAAATTTAATTACAATATAAAGGTGATATAAACGTAATTAATTATAAAAGTGATACAAAGCATTTGGACAACAAATATTTATATGAATAATGTTAAGAAGTTTTGAACTCCTCTTTAGATCTTTTTGGACTTTTTAATTTGCTTATAACTCTTAATGCAATTGATAGAAGTCTGAAAATTATTAATACTTACAATTCAATGTATTAAATACTCTCTCATTTACTAATAATTTGATTGTCTCAAAGACAGATCTTAATTTATTTAATCCCAACATAAAGAATAGTTATTCAAAACACATATTTTTTTACTCAAGAGAAATATGCAGATAGTTATAATTAGTGTCATTTTTAAATTAACAAAAATGATATAAACATATATTAAAATTATTATTTAAAACTAAATTGCACATTTTAACAGCTACTCCATGTAAAGTTAGTCTCCTTAAGTTTTTGCTTATATTACAAGTTGTTAGAAATGCGAATTGTAGAACTATAATGAAGACTAACAATATTAGTTTCGTAAGGAACAAAAACAAATGTATTTTCCTTTTTCCCTTAAGTAATACATTAACTTTAGAAATTCATTATACAGCTGCCATTTCTTTTTTGAAAAAAGAAACACTCTTAATCCTTCTCGATAACTGGTCGTGTAGGAATTTTTTCTTCATTTTAGAAATAATCAAGTTCATTTTCTTGTCCTCTTTTATTTGTAAACTTTTCTCGCTCTACACGAGCAATAATTCATTACTTAACTACATATCCTTATATGTGTTGTAAGATATTTTAAAAGGGATATACTCATGAGTCACACGATACAAAATACAATTTACCAAAATAGAATAAGACATGGCAACTTTCAGAGCATTTAATTCAGTTACCATGTCCGATATGCTCTTAAGGGATTTATTAGATGCTCAATTAGGCAAACTCAAAAAGAAGTGTTAAATGTTGATATTTATAACTGTTACAATTTACAAATATATAATTAGATTTCTATCATTTTTTTTCATAAAAATTAACATGCGGACAGCTGTTCTTAGTAATAGTATCACGAGGATTCTTTTGAATATGTTTTTAGTTTTAAAATTAAATTAAAATTTAAGTATGTCTTAAATTTTGATATAATATAGTTCTTAAATTTTAAAAATTAATGGATACAGTATTTTTAATTCAATTGTATTATTAATTTATTTTAAATTAAACTTTGTTTTATGTTAGTATTTGATTGGTTTATATACGTTTGACACATTCTAACGTTAACACATAAAAAAAAACTTAATACTATAATATTAAAAAGATTATATCTATTTATTTAAAATTTAGAGCATAAATATATCAAAGTTTTTGATAGAAAATATCATCATCATTAAAAAATATTGATACTTTATCATTAATCTAAGATAAAAAAAAATTAAACTCTCCCAAAATAATTTTATAATGACAGTCAAACATGTTATTTTTTTTATCAAGCATGTAAGGTTTGGCATGAATTTGAATTTAGTCTAGATCTAATTTAAATATAATAAAATGAATTAGACTTCTAATCCAAATTTTCATGTAGTTAAAATAAATATAGATTAAAATTCATATTCATTTTAACTATATTAATTAAATTTGGATTATTTTTCAATCTCATTTAAATTGGACCAAAAACTAGATGTAATCCACTTTGTTAATAAAATCAAATTCAATAAGATCAATATAATATATCTTGCTATTAGGTCTATTAGGTATGGGATGCGTTGACTTGGTTTGACCTTCAGCTTAGGCCAACTATGTTCAATCATTTGGTTTACCCTTATCTCAGTTTGACCTTATATCTTAATCAATTTAGCTCAACCTTTGAAATTGACTTGGTCGACCTTCAGTTGGGCTCAACTCGGTTGAACTTCGACTATGATCAACTTGATTAACATTTGGATGAGGCCGACTTGGTTGACCTTCAGCAGGTGTTAACTCAAAAGACCTTTAGTCGGGTTGACTTGGTTGATCAACCTTTAGTTGAGACCCACTTGGTAGATCTTCAACTAGTGTAGTCTAGGGCAAATTTAACGCGAGTTGGCTTAACCGAATTTTGGCTTAGTCTGAATTGATCGAATTTTGATCATGGCTGACTCGGTTGAATTTTTGTTGGTGTTGACTTGATCAAATTTCAGGCATGGCTGGCTTGGCCAAATTTCAGTCGGACCTGCTTTTTTCAAATTTTGGTCAGGTCTGATTCGACTGAATTTGGATAGGGCCTATTTGGTAGAATTTCAATCGAGGCTAGTTTAGTCAATTTAATTGGGTTCGACTTGGCTTACTAAACTAAATTTTGCTTTGGGTCAACTCGACCAACCGTATTTTGGTTGGGCTCGAACAAATTTCAGCCAAGCCTTGTTCATGTAAATTTTTGGCCGGAGCGAGTTTGGCTAAATTTATTTTAGGGGTTGATTTAACCAAATTTTAGTTGGGGTTGGTTTGGCCGAATTTCTGTTGAGTCCAATTAGGCCAATTTTCAACCTTAATTGACTCAGTCAAATTTTGTTATGGGTCAATTAAAGCAAATTTTGGTCACGATTGACTCATCCAAATATCAACTAGAGTCGACTCTGACTAACCTTTCATTCGGGATTAACTCAAACAAGCTCTCGTGTCGGAATGACTAAGGTTATCCTCGCTCAAAGATAAATCAGGACAACCCTCCAAAAAAATTACTAGAGTTGACCTTCGTAAGTTGACTAACTCAAATCCAAAAAATATCTAATCTAAATTTTTCAAAATCCGAAAAATATTCTTTAAATCTAATTAAATATATTAAGATTTAAATTTTCAAACTCTAAAAAATTATTCAATCTAAATTCAATTAAATAAATAAAATTTAAAATTTAAAATATCTATTTGAATTTGAGATAAATCTATTTAAAAATATTTATGAATTTGAATACAAAATTTAGATAAATTGTCAACCCCTTGGATGAAAAAAAAAATATAATATGACATTTCATCATTAGTCAAACATACTGAAACTTTGATAGTTAATTTTTATCATATTATATATAGTTAAATATAATTAATATTTCAAATCCCGTTAAAAAATTCACTATCTAATATTAATAATTGCTTGACTTATCTCAAATTCATTAGAATTATATTTATTATTTAACCATTTTAACTTTAAAGAGATAACTATTTACATTTATTTTTCAAGTTTTTTTTTTCTTTGCTCATTTTTTTTTATGTTTTGTTTTGAATGACATGATTGATGATTGGAAGTGTTGGAGGAACTTAAAAATGTCTTGGAACAGTATGATTGGGGCAGAAGAAGAAACAGTAATTACCATATAAGAGAGAGAAGAGAAAAGTGTGAATAATGATTAGAGTCCTTAAAGAAAGAATAGGTCTCCCAATAAGGTACACACCAACAGACACTGGTCCTATGAAATAGCCAACACGGGGACACATTTGTAAAGCAAAAGGAAGCTATTGAGGCGTTAGTGATGTCTTTCAGGAACCCATTAGCTTTAATATGTGACCACCATGGTTACGGGCCCCTTTCCTACACAAAGTCAAGTGCATAAATTCCAATTTTGAGGCATAGCCGAAAGAGCATGCCTGGTAGCAATTATTGGATCATATATATATATAATTAAATAGGTCAGAATCATTATATTTATTAAACAATTTATTAAAGTGATTAATTATGTAGGAATTATAAAATAATACAGAGAAGTTACATAGAACCTATGGTTCTCGTACGTAAATATTTACACATATTTTTGGTTTTTTCTCTTTATGTCATCCGAGAAAAAAAATGTTCTATAATTAAAATATTGGATATCATTCAAATAGTTCATATTCATCTAAGTGTTTATCAAAATGTGATTCACAGATAACTTATTAAAATGGAAGTACTCATAAAATAAACTGTTACATATAATACGAAATTATTTAAAAGGTTCAGTTCACTAAAATAATAATTGGGGAATAAAATAAAGAAAGAAAACTACATTTATTTTCTATTTTAAAGTTAAATTTGTAAAGGAAAATATTTCTAAGAATAAAATTTATAAATTTTTTCATTTTAGAATGTAGGCAGTCAATTTGATTTTCTCCTGTTGAATTATTATAGTGAAAATAAAGAAAATAGTAAAAATAATTTGGTGAACATAGTCAATTTCGTTCTTGCTGCTTACATTGTGTCATCTGACATGTGTCACCTTTGTCACGTATAACACTTGTTACTTTAAATTGTTGGGTCAATATATTCGTCTACTAAATTTTTGGTACATTTTTAGACTTACCTGTTTTTTTTGGGTTTTTAAAACTCTGGATTGAATAATTCTGACGATTAAAGAGGTTGTTTTGGGCTTTGGGGACACAACTTTGTTCATGATTTTGAGGATAAAATGATCATTGAACACAGTTCTGTTACATAGTTAAATTTTTGTTAGTTAATTTATTTCAGCGCATTATTAGGAAAAGGAAAAAAAAAACTATCTATTATTTTAATAAATATTTAAAATTAATATTAATAAAAGTTTAAATATTTCTATGATGCAGAAACCTGAGAACTTGGATAGATAAGTGGGAATAGAGATATTACAGGGAGTAGGAGGCGATCCTTAAGCAGAAACAACCTCTGTCATATTAATCGAACAGATTATTTTATTTTATTTTCTCCCTTAATAAGATTAGATAGCAGTTATGAAGAAATGATTCAAAGCTCGTCCTTGAGAAACGAAGAAGGTTTGGAGGAGAAGTTTTTGATTGGATAGGAAGCCTCCATTGCTATGCCACACAGATCTAAGTCTCTTTGCATTCTAATATAGCCATTTTCTCCCCATTCGGATCCCCACGAGTTCTTCACTGTCCAATATTTTGTTCCATCTTGAGTTGTTCCATACCCCACAATTGTTACCCCATGATTCAGACCAGTGCCACAAAATCCCGTAAACACTCCCTGCACTTAATTATTTTCAACCTATGATCACACCCAAAACCATTTTCTTTCCAAAACTATATAATTAAGAACCATGTTTTGTGCTTTAAAACTATATATTCACAAAAAAAGTTATGAGGAAGAGGTTGACCTCTGAGTAGAACTGAAAGTCATATCCGCCAGCATCAATGGCTACTGATACAGGTTGATGGGCAACAGCTTGGAGCAATGCAGCTTCATCGTTACTGGGGACAGTTTCATACCCATCGATTGACACAGCAGGTTGCTCCACCTGCAATATGATTTTTTTTTTTCATCTTTAAATTTTCTTATCAATCAAGTAAATTAATTGATGTTGAGCACAAAAAATATCAATGTGCACCTTTGATGCATCACAAATTCCATCTCTTGCTACATAAGGGTAATTGCTTTCTGTAGTTATACCATATTGTTTGATAAAATCGAATGCCCATTCCATGAACCCACCATTGCATCCTGAATTCTCAGTGTCACAATCTACAAGTTCTTGCTCAGACAACGACACCAGCTGACCTGTCTTGATCTGGTTAATACCTTCAACGGCTGCAATAGTTGAAAAGGCCCAACAACTACCTATAACAACAAGACATTAAAAAACAACAGACATTATGACAACTTCATCAAAAACAAAGAGAGCGCCTTTAGGAAAGAAATTATAAATTGGTTTTTGGGTATCTTTACCCTGAAACAAACAAAGATAATGTCAACCTTAAAAGAACATGCAGAAAGTTAAAAAGATATTGAAAAATAAAAGTGACACTTACGTTACTTTCTCATTTTAGACAAGTTAAATGGAATCCAAGTGACTTTACAGAAAAAAATGGAAAGTTTTTAGCTTTACCACAGTGGCCTTGATTCTTTACATCAGTGACAGCACCTTTCTTCCTCCAATCCACCGAAGGAGGAACCCTATCAACGTTCTTATACATGAAACTACCATTCTCACGTGGCATGCCTTGGAACATTCTATGATGACTCACCTTGGAGTTTGCATAGATGGTCGTGAATTCATAGTTGGTCATGTCAGCAAACCTGTTCAACTTCAGCTTGTAAGGCTTGTCCATTTTATTCGCGTTGTGGACATTCATCACGTTGGCTTTGAACACGTTGAAGCGCTTCTGCTTCTCATCGAAGCTTCGTGAAACCGTGTGGTGGCTTCTCCATCTCTCGTACAAATCCCACAACCCTTGTTCCGATTCTAGCTCCTTCTCGTTGAAATCAAAACTCTCGCCCATTCCAAGAACAAAACCAAACAATAAAACAGCCCACAAAACCTCTTTCGTTTCCATGTTGCTTTGCTTAATATTATATCAACGCAAATGGAAGATGTGAAAAACAGAGATCAAGGAGGTGCTTTATATAGAGAAATGAAAATCAATCTGGCAGAAAAAACAAAAATAAAGTTACGTAAGGGCATCAAGAATCAATAATGATGAACATGCAAGGCTGTTACACTGACATTAATTACATTTATTAGATTTTATATAATGAAAACAAACTCAAGATATTTATCTTATTGGGGCAAAAATAATTTGCCAGATAAGTTCCAAATTTTTAAAGCCTTTTGTAAAACTGCTTTATATCGTGTGCTTGAACGATCGTATTTCGGTTGCATTGCATGCATTCCACGGTATTACTTGAGAATGAGAGTGGAAAAGGAGAGCATGGGTTCCTTCTGGTTTTCAGCGACTGTCCTTGTAGCATCAAGAGGAGTGGAAAAATAACATTGACACAAAACTATATATTTTTTAAAGAAAAATATTGATTTACGCACCTAATTTTTTTTTTACTTTTTATTCTTTTTTTATTAAAAAAATATAAAACTTTATACAGGACTATTTTATCCTTATATTCCATGATAAATAAATGTAAAAATATGAAATTGTATCATTTTTTTTCTTCTAAATCTGTGAAGTATTCTAAAATAATTTCACGAAATTATTCTATAAATTTCGTTAAATAGCTTTTAGTTTTACATCATTGGATACAAGTGAAAAAAATAAAAGGCTTTTACATTTCAGAAAAACAACAGCTGAAAGTGAATTTACTCTTTCCCAACATCCTCAAATTAAGTACAGAGAAAGGATTTAATTAATGTTTCACAAAATAGCCACCTATAACTTTAAATCTTGTTATTTTTTTCTATATGTTTTTTCTCGTCTATATTTATTACATCAATATTTAATTGAAAAACTTATTGATCTAGCAAAAATTGAAATTTTACTGATGTAGCTCCTTTTGAAGTAAAATGCAACGGATACAACTAATTCAGTCCAGAATAAGAAACTGTACATAGACAATTTTAAAAAATTATGTAAATAGGTGAAGATTGTAAACACGACTTCAAAATATTAAAAATAATGAATTCGAATTCTAAAAGTACGGTTTCTAATATTACATAAAAATAATTAATTTAATGTCTATTCTTCTTTTACTATTGTATTTATAATTTAGGTTTAATATCTATTTTGTTCAATCAAACTAGGATGTTTTGTTCAAAATTGTTTCTTTTTAAAAAAAAGTTTACAAATGTTTTAATTTGTGAAAAAATGGTTTAAGATAATATTTTTGCTTACAACATTAAAAATCTAATGGTGTAGTTGTCCTCCTCGCCAAATCTGAATGAGATGTTCAGTTATTAATTTTGTGGCACGCTGAGATCAATTACTATTTACCTTCATCAGAGTTTATGTTGAGGTCAATTATTATTTATCTTAATCAGAGTTTTAGAAAATTTTAACTTGCATTTTTTCTAATATTTTCTAATAAACCTAGCAGCGTGGTGTTTTAATCACGCAAGGAGACATACTCCTCCTATTCCCCTTCACTGTTTGTGGGTTGACATTGCCAAGAACATTTCTTCTTTTCAATTTGCTCCAAGGTGCATGTTTTTTACTAAGTTCTTTTCTATTAGTCTAATGTTGTTTCACATTTAACTAAGAATTCTTTCACATAAGAAAAAAGTTGTTTTTGTTATATATTTGATAAAGAAGATCAAGAAGGACAACTTTTACTATGTATCTTGATCAAATACACAAGGGTTAACAATAGTACCTTATTTCAACAATGTATACCTCAATCAAATATTAAAGTGAACTTGTTTCTATCAGAAATGGGATTGTGAAATCTCACCAGTATTTTCACCACACAATTTCTGAAAAGTTTGGGGCTTTTTAAGAGCAATTTCAGGGGTACCCATATCAGCAAAAGGTCCCCAATTTTCTTATTTGGAGATTGAAAATTTGAAAGAGTATTTGAGAAAACTTACTACTTTTATGGTACACTGTTACACTGTTTCTTTCGGGTTTTTAAAACTCCGGATTGAATAACACTGTCGATTAAAGAGGTTGTTTTGGGCCTTGGAGACACAACTTTGTACATGATTTTGAGGATAAGAATGATCATTGGACACAGTTCTGTTCATGGTTAAATTTTGGTTACTTAATTTATTTCAGTGCATGATTAGGGAAAGAGAAAAAAAAAGATTATCTATTATTTTATATTGTGATCTAAGAATAAATATTTTAGATTAATAATATTAACAAATAAATATTATTAAAAATTTATATATTACTATGTTACACAAACCTCACAACTTGGGTAGATAATTGGGAATAGAAATATTACAGGGAGTAGGAGGCGATCCTTTAGCAGAAACAATATAGATCGAACAAATTATTTTATTTTTTCCTCCCTTATTGAAATCAGATAGCAATTATGAAGAAATGATTCAAAGCTCGTCCTTGAGAAGAGAAGAATGTTCCATGGATTTGGAGGAGGAGGTTTTGATTGGATAGGAGGCTTCCATTGCTATACCACATAGACCTCTCTTGTTAAATACATCCCTTTCCATTCTAATGTAACCATTTTCTCCCCATTCGGATCCCCACGAGTTCTTCACTGTCCAATATTTTGTTCCATCTCGAGTTGTTCCATACCCCACAATTGCTACCCCATGATTCAGATCAGTGCCACACAACCCCGTAAATACTCCCTGCACTTAATTATTTGCAAGCTATGATCACACACAAAACCACTTTTCTTCTCAAAACTAGATAATCAAGAACCATGTTTTGTGGTAATTAATTGTGCTTTAAAACTATTCACAAAAGGTTATAAGGAAGAGATAGATTAGAATTAATAATACTAATAGTTTATTGGTTTGTTTGAGTAAAAGTAATTTAGCAGGTTTTGTGTTAAAGTTTTGTGGATGAAAAAAAAGGTGTTTAAAAGAGAAACCTTGAAAAAATGATCAGATAAATTTTTTCATAAACAGAAAAAAATGTAAAAAAAATTCAGAATTAAGAGTTGACCTCTGAGTAGAACTGGAAGGCAAATCCGCCAGCATCAATGGCTACTGATACAGGTTGATGAGCAACAGCTTTGAGCAATGCAGCTTCATTGTTCACTGGGACAGTTTCATGCCCATCGATTGACACTGCAGGTTTCTTCACCTGTAATATCATTTTTTTTCATCTTTAAATTCCTAATCAATGAAGTCAAGTAAATTAATATTAAGCACAAAAAAAATATCAACGTGAACCTTTGATGCATCGCATGTTCCATCTCTTTCTTCGTAAGGGTAATTGCTTTCTTTAGTTATGCCATGTCGTTTGATAAAATCAAATGCACTTTCCATTAACCCACCATTACATCCTTGATTCTCTTTAGTGTCGCAATCTATAAGTTCTTGCTCAGACAAGGACACCAGCTTATTTGTTTTGATCTGGTTAATACCTTCAACGGCTACGACCGTTGAAAAGGCCCAACAACTACCTATAACATCAAGACATTAAAAAACAACAGACATTATTCCAACTTCATCAAAACAAATAAAGATTACCGAAGTGATTTGTTCAATAGAAAAAAATGAAATTCTAAATTGGTTTACCACATTTGCCTTGATCCTTTACATCAGTGACGGCACCTTTCTTCCTCCAATCCACCGAAGAAGGAACCTTATCAACGTTCTCATACATGAAAGTACCGTTCCCAAGTGGCATGCCTCGGAACATTCTGTGGTGACCTACCTTCGAGTTAGCATAGGTGGTCGTGAATTCATGGTTGGTCATGTCAGCAAACCTGTTCAACTTCAGCTTGTAAGGTTTGTCCATTTTATTCGCGTTGTGGACATTCATCACGTTGGCTTTGAACACGTTGAAGCGCTTCTGCTTCTCATCGAAGCTTCGTGAAACCGTGTGGTGGCTTCTCCATCTCTCGTACAAATCCCACAACCCTTGCTCCGATTCTAGCTCCTTCTCGTTAAAATCAAAGCTCTCGGCCATTCCAAGAACAAAACCAAACAATAAAACAGCCCACAAAACCTTTTTTGTTTCCATCTTGCGTTGCTTAATATTATATCAATGCAAATGGAAGATGTGAGAAATAGAGATCAAGGACATGCTTTATATAGAGAAATGAAAATCAATCTGGCAGAAAAAAAATGAAGTAACTTAAGGGCATCAACAATCAATAATGATGAACATGCAAGGCTGTTACACGGACATTAATTGAATTACGTACATTTCTTAGATTTTATAAGCAAAGTCAAGAGATTTATCTTATTGGGGCAAAAATAATTTGGCAGATAAGTTCCAAATTTAAAGGCTTTTATAAAACTGCTATATATTGTGTGCTCGAAGGATCACATTTGGGTTGCATGCGGTTCACGGTATTACCTTTAATAATTAATGAGGGTGCAAAATGAGAGCATGGGTTGCTTCTGGTTTTGAGCCACTGTGCTTGTAGCATCATGGAGGAGTTGAAAGTAATGGCAACGGTTTTGTAGCTTACGCGATCGCTTGTGAAAGCAGTGCAGTACCACATGTACAAACTCAAACAAATTCAAAGTGCAATCAGGTATACTTTCCAACTGCATGATTCCTTGCAGTGCATGTGTAGTAAGATTGTGAAAGTCCACCAGTTAGGACAGGAATTTGGTAACTTTTGAAACTAAACTCTACAATTTATATGAGAATTAGCGTGTCATCAATAAATTCAATGTTGTCATTTGTTAAGTACTTTCTCTGTAAAATTTAAATATATCACTTCTCTCCGGTAAAATTGATGTTTAATATGTTGTTACAGTAGAGGAAAGCTAATTAGTAAAAAGGGTTGCATTTGTTGATCTTTTTAGGAGAATGGAAAATGCTTCTTTGGTTTGTATTAGGAGAAGTTTTATGTCCCATTCCCATGACGGCATGTGAAAGATTTTTTGTGATATTCAGTGATTATCATTTGATTCCAACTATTCACGCTTGCTAATTGCTTGATGCAAAGAAATACATTAGCGTAATGCTTTGGTCTCTAACAAA